AAATGTTATTTACTTGTTCTCATAATATAAGAACTAGAGGCCACCAAATAAAATTAATGGGCAGCAGGTTTAAAACAAATAAAAGGAAGCTCTTCATACAGAGCACAGTCAACCTGTGGAACTCCTTGCCTGAGGAGGTTGTGAAGGCTAGGACTATAACAGGGTTTAAAAGAGAACTAGATAAATTAATGGCTATTAGCTAGGATGGGTAAGGAATGGTGTCCCTAGCCTCTGTTTGTCAGAGTGTGGAGATGGATGGCAGGAGAGAGATCACTTGATCATTACCTGTTAGGTTCACTCCTTCTGGGGCACCTGGCATTGGTCACTGTTGGTAGACAGGATACTGGGCTGGATGGACCTTTGGTCTGACCCAGTATGGCCATTCTTATGTTCTTATGTGGCCCTGCACCCCCTCCTCCATGTGTCTATGCCCCCACTCAGCCACCCTGTCACCACGTGGACTGCACCTCCACCCCGATTCAGCCCCTGCCCCAGTCTGTCCTCCTCCACTAGCCCTTATGAGCTCTCTGTCTCCCTATAGCCACTATCTCCTGACCTGGCCCGACAGGCAGTGTAAAGAAGGCAGGCTCTTTCTCTTCCCTAGCTGGCTGGGAGCTGCTGCTCTGTTCTAGCACTATAGTGCCATCTGGTGGGCAAAAGGTGGAACTGCAGCAACTTTCTGGTAGAAGCTGTTTTCTGTGCAAAAAATTAAAAATATGCATGGCTTATTAATTATGTGCACACACAGTGGCACAGAATTCCCCTAGAAGTAATGTTCATCTGACCTGTGCCCAAAGTCACTATGCATTTGATGTTGCAGGTTAGCCCCATTGGTTCAGGGTCCTCTCCCCAAGAGGCCTGGATGGCTGCCTGAGTCCAGCAGAGCTGGAAGATCCTGCCAAAAACAAACAAAAGCATGTTGTTTGTACATGGAAAGAAAGAAAATAATCCCCCCTTTACATTCTGCATCATGGCAAGGCCACTGGTCGATACTTTTATCAACTTTGTATGCCTTCATTTTATCTCTATACACTGGCTTGTTCAGAAGTTGCTGCTAGTCAGGTTACCAGCACCTAGGCACACTATGGTAATGATTTCAGACTTAATGCATTTACAAAAAAAATTGGTTTTGGGACCTAGTTGTGTTCAGCATGTGGCTGTGGTGTTACCAGTATTGGTTTTAACATTATTTCAGGCTGGAGAACCCTTAGAGGATGTGAGGTCCCAGACTGAGAGAGGGGAGGGAGCAACTTTTGCAGGTTGGTAGTCTAATCCCATCCAGGGCCGGCTCCAGGCACCAGCCCACCAAGCGTGTGCTTGGGGCGGCGCCTGGAGGGAGGTGGCGGGGCGCTCCGGCCCGAGAGCGGGGCCGAGACTGGGCTCGCCACCCTCCCCGCGGTGCTCCGGCTGCCGGGGGCTCTCCGCCCTGCTCCTGGCGCTCTGGCCGCCAGGGAGAGCGGAGCCACGGCGGGCTCGCCACCCTCCCCCCGGCGCTCCGGCCGGTCGGGGATTGCGGGCCTGCGTCCGGGCTCGGCGCCCTCCCCTGCCATGCTGGGGGGGGGGGCGGCAGCGGGTGGCTTTTTTGCCTAGGGCGGCAAAAAAGCCAGAGCCGGTCCCGATCCCATCTATCTATGCGAAAGAGATTTTTTTATCTTCTGCTGACTGAACAGCATATCAAGGAATAGAGAGGGCACTCTGAGCTTTTAGTTTAACCCCTTTGGGGACAACATGGAAGGAAGCAAGGAACAGAGACTTAGCAAAGCAATTTCTTAACCACAGTGACTTTATACTTGAGAGTTACAAATCTTTCACAAGAAAATAACAGTGCAGAGGCCCTCCCGCCTCTGACCTCATCTCACCCCTTCTGTGAATCTGAGATTTATCAGCTGGGTGGAGTTCCTCCTGCAAGTCTCTTGGGGTTGCTTGTGTGTCTGTGTTGGGGGAAATGGTTAATCACCCTTTCAAACAGCAGAACCCTGCTCTTAAGTCGGGTGTCTCCTCCATGATATGTGCCTAATTAGTCCTGCTTCAGCCCCTGCTTGTCATGCTGTCCCCACCACGGCAAGCTCTCCCCCCCTCCCCCCCCATGTAGAAAAATCATTATTCCTTGGGGGTAGGCCAGCAGTTGAGACAGTCGAAGTTGAATGTCCCAGATTGCAGTCTTGATGGTCAGTAACAGTTCTTCAATTAGGTGTGAGCAGGGCTGGCTCTAGGATTTTTGCCGCCCAAAGCAAACACAATTTTGGCCACCTCCCCCCCGTGTTCTTTAATTACTCCACCCCCGGCCCCGCCTCAACTCCGCCCCTTCCCCAAATCCCCAGCCCTACCTCCTCCCCCCAGGCTCCTCCCCCCAAGCCTAGGAGGGAGGGAGGGGGAGAAGCGGCGCCCGCGCCGCAGCCACTCGGAGTCTCCCCCTGGGAGACGCGCGAAACGGCCGCTCGGGATCTCCCCCTCCCTCCCAGGTTTGAGAGCCTGGGAGGGAGGGGGAGACCCCGAACCGCCGTGGCACGTGAAACAGCTGATTCGCGCGCGGCTGCTCCCCCTCCCTCCCAGGCTTGAGAACCTGAGAGGGACGGGGAGAAGCGGCGCCCACGCCGCGGCCACTCGGAGTCTCCCCCTTCCTCCCAGGTTTGAGAGCCTGGGAGGGGGGGCGAGTAGCGGCGCGCGAATCAGCTGTTTCGCGCGCCGTGGCAGCAGCAGCAGAAGTGAGCTAGGGCGGCCGGGGCACATTTTTAGGGGCGGCATTCTGGCGCCGGCCATGCCGCCCCTAAAAATGTGCCGCCCCAAGCACCAGCTTGTTTTGCTGGTGCCTAGAGCCGGCCCTGGGTGTGAGCACCTATCCTGGTCAAGCCCGCAATCTGTAAGACATTACAATAGGCTGCCCCAAGGTAAATTTAGATGTGTTCAACGCAGACTACAGAATGGAGCCATAATCTGATGCAGCCATATTCTGCTCTGTCACAACTGGTTGGGGGAAATGTACTAGCAGTAACCACGGCTATTGTTAGCCTGATTTCAGAGGTAGTGTAGAGAAGGCCTAAAAGGTTGTAAAATAAAGAGTCTGCTTTGTTTCAAACTGGTGATATGAAAATTGTCAATGATTCTCAAAGTCTAGGGATTACAAACTGTATGCAGGAGGACACATCAGAAGAAAATGGATTATTTGAGGGGAAAGTTGGACTTTTGGGGAATTTCAATCATCATCTATACAATTTAGAAGAACAACTTAGGGAGAATTCTTGAAAGGTAAATTGATTCCACTATCAACCTCACTGCCTTTTTCAGTGAGCATAGAAGTTAAGGGGCTTAATTCCTTCGTATCATACATTTAAATCAGCATGAGTAGGGACATTACTTATTTTTAAATTGCATGGTATTGTTAACTATTCAAAGACTGATGTAAAAGTCTGATTTGTAGCTACTGGCTACAACAATGCATGTTGCAGCTGCATGGTACTGGCAAGGTCAGGAGAGCAGAGTGAAGCAGTGAATGGCACTGATACCTTTCCTAGCTCTGAGTTTTGTTGGTCTTTTCCTGCCAAGAAGAGTGTTCTCAGAATCCTGCTCTCACACCTGAGTCTCTTATTTGACAGTCTGGAAAATTAATATCCAGCTACCGCATGTAGCTGTGCTTCCAGCAAAACTCTGCACTTTTTACATCCGTTTATGGCAGTACATAAAAGATCACCGTCCACAGATTGTTAATTTTGAAGATTGCTCAGACTGCTGTGTGGAATTAGATGCTGCTGGTTTGCTAATACTACAGTAACATTGTAAATGAAGTATCTTAAATTATTAGCTTGTGGCTGAATTAAACCCAAGATGCTACACTGAATCCACAGCCCGAGGATAATCACTGAGCCTTGCATTTGTGTTCTTGGTAAATACCTGAATACTTAAATAATACCTGAGTCATCATTTTCTAAACTGGATCCAGGCAGAATGTTTATTTAATGGAACATAGCTCTTCAACTGCAAGAAAGCTCTTCCCATGCCTCTAACCTCATCTAGCTGGTTATACTCTGCTAATCACCATGGTACCTGCCTTCCCCTGCATAACATCATCTCTCTCTCTCATTCTTAAAGGCAACAGAAGTTGTTCAATAACTGCCAAATTTGATATTGGTTACCCAGTGTTGCTGTTTGCAAATGTTCCATGCTTGGTGAGGTGCACCACCCCAGCATTCAATGTGCCTTTGCAGCGCATGTGAAATTGCTGGCAGAATGACCTAGCAGAGAAGCTGCCAGATTTGCTTGTCTCTTTCCAATGCCACTTTGAAGTTAGCGGCATGTATGTGACTGTGCTGGGAAGGGAAATGAAGGAGTTATGCAGGGCAGGGAATGATAGAGGGTGAAAACCCCCCAGAACACATTTTTGAAATGAGTGAGAGATCTAATGAACAAATTCAAACCTATTTATTTTACTGAGCACTGCCAGAGGCACTGTCACTTTTTTTCTCTTGTGACCCTGCAGTGCTCCTGATTTATTACTCATATTTATATTTCTTTAACTCTTTCTATCAATGAAATTAAATGGGGAGAAAATAACAAGTTTATGGGTGAGATTTCAAATGTTCAGAATGTAGAGGACTAGAAGTTATGATTCCCACAGCATCTGTATCTTGATCCTGGTGCACAATAATAATACTTGAGAGAGGTATAACTGAGCACAGGAGTGGGAGTTAGGACTTCCTGTGCGCCTAATCCCAGCTCCGATCATGACTTCCTCTGTGGCCTTGGTCAAATCACTTAACACCCCTGCCTCCATTTCTACAAATGGAGATAACATTTTTAGAGTGTGAGCTTGTTGTGGTGGGGACAGAGTCATTTATGGATGTACAACAACTAGCACGTCCTCGATGCTTCCAGAAATGAGTACAAAATTATCATGAAAATGGCTTGCAATATAAAATTGTTGAAGGCTAGTTGATTTGTAAAGTGTTATGATGACAGAGCACTACACAAAGGGACTAAGCGGTATTGTTTTTTTTATTCTACAGATACACAAGGGTCCCCAGCTGCAAATGCCAGGAGAACCACAATTTTGAGGGCCTGACGTCTGTGTTTTAAAAACACAACCATAATGTTGTTTTGTTTGGATTTAATATATTGCATTGTCCATTGTGGGAAGATGGCAGTAGAATCTTGTGAAAACTAAAAGTAGAAATAAGGAAACTGAGAATCTTCTGTAAGTAAGGAACAGGTTGGTAATAACATACTTTCAAATGTAATAAAATATTTAATTAAACCTGGAGAATATCTTAATATTTTATTAATTACATTTATAATGCTTATTTCCAGCCCTATTTTCTACCTATTAAAACTTCCCAGTGGGTCAGAAGTTGTAATAGTAATCTATGCTTCAATTCCCAGTGCATTAGTTACAGGATATGCTGTGTGTCTGACTCTATCAGTGCTGCAGATGCCTGTCTGTGCCACATACTCTCAGTGCTAATAGTGCTGAAGCTATTTACGTGGTCCTGTGAAAACAGATGCATCTATTTTAAATTAACTAAATATATAGGGCCATGTTCTGATTCTCAGTGGTTCTCAACTTTTTCCATACTGTGATACCTCCTTCAATTTGCAATATGAAAAGGGGCAGGGTGGTCATGATCTCCCAAAAACACTTGTCTGTGACCTCCCCCAGTTGAGAACCTATACCCTTACTCCGATTGAGTTGAACCTTACTCCACAGAGGGTCCCCCTGAAGTCAATGGGACCACTTGTAGAATAACCTTACTCATGCTCGATAGCACCTTCTTAGAAATCTGTCCCCTAGTGACAAAGTGAGGTAGAGGGTCTCATAACTGAACACTTATAGTGATAAACAATATTGAAAAATAAAGCAGCCTCTTAATTTAAATGAACGTGTGAAGGTAAAATGTCATATTTTAGATGTTTTTATGTATTAATAATTGGATAATTAAAAAAACAACATAACACTTCTATTCCTAATAGATAACCATCTCTTGTCCACATATAAACGTTTGTAGTGCTTAAATGTTCAATGCAAACTACCTGACAGTTTTCAGTAAATTTGTTAGTCTCTAAGGTGCCACAAGGACTCCTCGTTGTTTTTACCTGACAGTGTGTCATGTAATTCCTCCTGCAAAAGAACTACTGCAGAATAAAAGTTGACTTGTACAAACGAAATATTGACCTCCCTATCTATTTTTATATAATGCTTGTCTTTCATTTTTGCAGTGAGTGATTTTCTCTCTCCACCTTCCCACCCCTTTCAAGAAGTACTATAATAATTATATCATCAATTTGCTGTTCCTGCGTTTCAAGAGGTCCCTAATTTAGTTTCAAATCTATCTTCATGAACATGTTGTCCCTCCTGATTTTGGCAGGTAGACTAATGGATTTTCATTTCCAGAACCCTTTTTATCCAAATTACCTTACTGGAAGACCCACCGCTGTGGTTACTGCAGAGTATATATATATTTTTTTAATTTAAACCTTGATTTACCCTCTTTATGCATTTTTTCTGGATTCCTTTCTTTCCATATGCAATGATACTCTGCATAGGTCACATGCAATATGAGGCTGACATCAATAACTCTATGGAATCAAGATGTTGCAATATGTGAAGGACAGGGCTAAGTCAATTCCGGTAAGCTTCTCTGTATCTTTAACAACAACAGGAGCTAGGGGCCTTGCTGTAGGAACACTGATAGATGTAATAGGTCTCTTTCTTAGGTTCTGGCTCCACAGTTCTTACCTGCACTGATCTGAAGCAGTATATGTGGATCATACCATTGAGCTAAAATCCCACACCCTACCCCAGTGAACAGGTGTCCATATCACAAAACCCATCATGACAGTTGACTCCTTTGCCAACCTCAGCACTGAGGTCAATTCTTGGAGAATGAAAGGCTTTCCCATCCCTAAAGGGGGTCCTGCAAGGCCAGAGTTGAGGCAGGTGGGGCCATTAAGAAGCTTTTGTGCTGATAAATAAGACTTCATTCACTCTCAAGGTCTGCACCTTTTCCTCAACTAAGTGTGATGCCAGAACTGATCATCTGCAACACAGCAAAACAAAGGTACAGAGCACAAACAGCATTCATATTTGCGAACAAACACTTTGCTTTTTGCTCTGTTGGCATCTTTCACTTCTCCATTTGAAAATTCAGGGTGGAATTTTATTTTGCCTAAAATCCACTTTCTTACAGTTATAGGGTTTTCTTTAAAAAGTTCCTTCTTATTCTGACGTCATGTAGCTAATTTTGATTCCTGAATCTTCCAGCTTTGCTTCGGAGTTTTGCATCAAAAATACTGAGATGCAATAATGCATTCATATCAGCTTTCTCCTGTGGAAAAACAATTCACGAAGTACCCCTGCAATCTGGCATAACTTTACACCTGTAGCACTCTTGGTTCATGGGGGAACAATGTAACTGGAAAAACAATAGGGGTGTTCAAAGCAGAGTTCAGGTGCGCTGGAAGAGCTGTGGGTGAGAATCCAGGGCTGGAATAGGAGAGGGTGCTGCAAATTAGGATTGAGAGATGCATTGACAGAGCTGTATCAGGGACAGAAATGGAATGGGCAGAAAGGCGGGTGGGTGGGAATTGGAGTGGAGGTTGAAGGTGAGGTACATTGGTAAAGCAGTGTGGGAGCTCAGGCGTGGAATAGGATACTACAAATCAGAATGAGAAGCATTGGCAGCACAGCTGATTTAGAGCCCAGATAGGGTGACCAGATGTCCTGATTTTATAGGGACAGTCCTGATATTTGGGGCTTATTTTTATATAGGCACCTATTACCCCCTACCCCCATCCCGATTTTTCACACTTGTATCTGGTCACCCTAAGATCAGAACTGGAGTAGCAGCTGTCTTTAGCCTTTTGGGGTGCAGTCACAGAGCATATAAGGGCCTAGACGTGGTATAACAAGGGGTGCTGCAGGGGCGGACTGAGGGGCTTTGACCTAGGAGTGAGGGAACTCTAGATGGGACAGGAGAGGGTGATGCAAATTGGCACCAAGTCCCATTGAGAGGAAGAAGCCGTGCACTCCACCTGCCTGCCTTACACCTTTCTCTAGCCCCTCAGGTGGCCACACTTCCCAAGAGGGGTGGGAGGGCCCCTGCTCTGTCCTGCACCTTCCAAGAGGCGGCCAGCCCTTCTCCAAGTATGGTAGCTACCCTTATGGAACGGGGGCGGGGGGAGCCTTCTGGGAGAAGGTCCCTCACCCTCCAGCCCTGCGACAATGGGCGCACACTGTCCAGTACGCAGGGGCTTTGGAGAGGGCAGCAAGGGAAAATCCCATGGCATGTGGGGCCTGATGCCCCCATCCTCTCATGTGCGGCAAAGCCTCCCCTCCATCGTTCCCACGGGGGCTTAGATCCACTGTGTTCCTGAGGCTCCCCCCCACTCTGGGTGTGAGTCACTGATTTCTACGCGCCCTCCCCGCTCGCTGCCCCAGGGGACAGCCCTGCTGCACACTCACTGCTCACGCAACCAGACGGGGTAGCCTCGCAGCGCGCGCGCGCGCTCCCTCCGGCTCCGCTGCCGTGCACCAGCACTCGGGCGCGCTCCGCAGCGCCGGGGGTGCGCGCCCTTTATGACAGGTGGCCGCGCGTTGCGCGCTCCCGGGGAAAGCAAGGTGGTGGTGGGAGGGGGGAGGGGGAGAGAGTCGGTCCAGCGGCAGAGGAGACAATGGCAGCGGCGACAGCAGCGCTGTAGGCACCTTCTGAATGGGAAAAAGCAACCTGGGAGGGGGCGGAGGAGGAGGAGAGGAAGAAACAGCCGCGGCGGAGGAGGAGGAGGCGGAGGGGAGGAGGGAGCCACCCGCCCCCCCCGCAGCAAAGCAGGGGGCAGCCGGCAAGCGCCGGGTGACTGCAAGCGGGAGCGGGCGGGGGGGCTCGGCGGCCAGGGTCCCCGGCATGGCTGCGGGGCCATGGGGGCTGCCGTGAGCCGCGCCGGGCGCTGAGAGGCGCGGGGAAGCGCTGGCTCCATCACCCCCCGGAGGAGGGAGGCAGGCGCGTCCACCTGCACGCACGGGAGAGCCGGGCTCATGGAGCGGCGGTGACTGCAGCAGCCGCCGCCGCAATCCCCAGCCTTGCCTGCTGGAGGCAGGGGGGGTGGCCCCCAGCCAGCCCCACGCTCCCCGGCCCCCTCGCGGGCTCGCCGCCAAGGTAAGTCTCTGCACCCAGCAGCCGTGCGGGCTTCGCTTGCTGGAGTTTCTCTTTGGGGGGCGGGGGGGGAGGAGATCCAGCGCTCTCCGGGAGCCCCCACTCAGCCCTGCCAGCCTGAAAAGGCCTTTTCCTATTCGGGGAGAATAGCGCAAGCACACGCAGCCCCCAGCCGGCTGCTTGCACGGCTCCGATAGGGGTGTGTGTGTGTGTGTGTGGTGGTGATGATGATGATGATTAGAAATTGCATGTTTGAGAAAAGGTCTGTCTTGTTGCCGTCTCTTGCCAGGAGGGAAACATAAATTGTGTCAATCAAATTCCTCCAACCTTTGCTGTGTATCTAGTGAGCAGTGGGAAAGCGGAGAAGGTTTCAAGGCGACTTGGGGGGTGGCGGGGCATGAGTTAAGTTTAACCCTCCCCATTCCAATCAATCCAGGGTGAATTTTCCAGAGAGGAAAATATTTAGTCTCCATTCTTTTGCTCCTGACTTATGTCTCTTTTCTTAAAATATTGAAAGTGGAATTTAGGGCAAAGACTTACAATAATTAGTTAGTTGCTTTAATACATGTTCTGAGGGGAAAGAAAAGAGAGACCTGGATCAAATTGTCAAAGGCTCGGCGGTCATCGAAAGTGTGTGAATATCACAAATGAATAGATTTTCTGCTGTGGAAACTACTAGTTTAGGAATGAAATTAGACTTGTGTTTTTTTCAGCCCCAAATTTGTCCTTTGAATTTTTGAATACTTCTAGAAGCTTTTATTTTAAAAATTACACGACAGTGTACTAGTTGTAAGTCTTTCTGTCTTTGGGCATCTATTATTATTTGTTTAGTACATTTATTGTTTGTGTTTACAGGGAACTGTTTAGCAAATATATTTGCTATTGGGTATTCTAGTATTTAATTTGTCTCTGAATCTCTGGTAAACTAAATTTTGGTAAAAATATGGTTTTAAAGCACTTTGAAAAAGATTGGATGTAAGCTACTTTATTTTCATTCATTTCAACACTGATGAGAATTCTGGTAGGAACTAAAATATTCCACAGTGGGAGGAAAAAGGTTCTACAAATCAGTATCATCCGAACTACTGTAGGCCATTTGTATTTTCTGTGTCTTCCTTACACTACTTACACACTGGTTAACATATGACCAGGTTTTTATTTACAGCAATGAGGTTTTGAATGGTGGAAGAATTTACACAGAAACCTTATTTTTAGCAAGGAACAAAAAAGCACTAAAGAAACTGTCATTTCACATATTAAACTAGAAAACTGGCTAATCAAATAAAACTGGCTCATTGTCTGAAACTCTATCCCAGTGAAAAATGCGGCTGTGAATATAATTAACCATCTGTCTAGTGAGCAATTGAAAATTGGGCTCATATATTTTTATTTCAGTGTCTTCAGTTCTGAACTGCTTGTGCATTTGTGCAAGAGTGACAACAGTAATGTATTTTGCTTACTAAGTGTACTATATGAGGTGTCTGTTTTTAATATCTGATTTAAAAAAAAATTAAACCATGATGTTCAAAATTAATTGTGCAATTTGAAAATGGCACGTTTGCAATATAGTAACCCAAACCAGTTCTAATGGACTAGTGACTAAAGCAAAGGCTGTATATTTTGTCTCTAAATGTTATCCAGTATTTTACCCCCTGCTGAAAATATGTAGAGTACACATTCACCAGGTGAAAGGATTTTGTGTGTGTGTATCGGGGTGAGGAAGAGGAAAGACGTGTAAGTGTGAGAGGGCAATCTTAAAATTATTTGGCCTTGGGAATCTATTCTGAGCCTTCCCCCATCCGTACTTGGTGGTCTGTTCATCCTTTTTGCCCCTTCCTGGACTCTCTGGTCAGCTTGCTTGCAATCTATTCACATCCATCAACATCCTGGTATTCAGATTTGTGTTCGCTGTGTTTTTAGGTACCTGCTGTTATCAGTGGAACAGTATGGTAATGCAGTAACCACTGTGCCAACAGCAAAATATCTCTGCTAGAAAGTGTGTGTGGTTGT